ACACACACACACACACACACACACACACTCTTTTAATGCCATCAGTGGTTGCTGCACATCTTCTGCAGGTAAAATTTCTCGTTCTTCTCTGAAACGTCCTAAGCAGAATTTATTTATTTATAGCTTCACACTGAAGTCTGTATCCCACTGTCCTGAAAACATAACATATGTACACAGACATACACACAGGGGGATCAGGCCTGTTCTGGCAGCAATCACAGAAGCAGACAGTGACTCCACTGCTGTTCGTGCAGATATACAAAACTAAAGCCTCGGTCAACAGGGACCTGTGAACACCTGCTCTTAGCTCATCTCTGCTCTCTGCTGCATGTGAAGGGTTAGTGGTGTGAACATGTGGTGCTTGTGGGGGCCACCGAGGTCATTTGTCTTCATCCATGGTATTCATTGGATTTTCTGAACTTCTACGGCAGCGTGCTCTGCTCTGACACAGCCATTCATCAGGACCACTGGACCACACAATGCAGCAGAGCCATCTCCTTTCACTAACGTGTTTTGTGGCGTGCAGGTGGTTTATAAGAGGACTGCACTACGAATGGGCGTATGCGATTCCCATGACTGCTTCATTAAGCTGTGGAAAAGTTTTAGACATAAATGGGCTTTTTTATGTACTATTTTTAAAGTGTGTTAGAAATAAGTGACAGTCGAAATGTGTGTTTGTGTTTGTGTAGGTCCCTGTTACTTGTCCTCTGATAATGTCTCTGACTGTACTATGCCACTCTCAATAGGTTCATTTACTGTGTAACAAGAAAGCATTAAATGCTCCCTTCCGTGTGAGCATGTACAGAGCCTGAGGCAGAAAGTCTGCTTTAACAAAGAAAGTTTAAAAAGCCCCCACAGTGGTTGGGTCTTGATGCAGCAATGTCATCATATTTGTTTCCCTGCTGTGATGCGATGTGGTGTAGCTCATATGTTTTGCAACTCTCCTCAAACTTTACATAAAATTTCATGTAATTTACTGCAGTAAAAAGTGAGATTACTTTTGAAAAACGAATAAAGCGTTAACTCTGTTCCCTGAAACATTCTGACAACAGTACAACTTTGTCAGATGAAGAAGATGATGCTCTTTTGTTGTCTTTAAGTTTTCCAAATATTCACTCCTTTGTTTATTTCACATGGATGTATTTTTTAAGTTAAAAAGGGAATTTAAAAGGTTAATAAATCTGCTGTTTTTCCAGTTGTTAATAAAATTGATGTGAATAGTTGTGTACGTGTAGGCGTACTCAGTAAACATAGAGCTAGTTTTCATTCTATGCTTCTGCATAGATGTTAGGGAGAGTGTTTTCTTGATTTTACTGCTATAATGTGTCCTTCAGAGAGAGAGGGAGGGTGCACGCGCGGGTGTGTGTGTGTACAGTGTCTTACACTGACAGGCAGGTGTAATTACTTTCAGGGGTCTGCGGTGCAAAGTCTTCCATGGTTGGGAAGTTTTCACTTTGAGTTTAATTTCATTTTCAGTGCAGTGGAGTGAAGCCTGAGCCTTAAATCTGTGCTGACGCTGCTAGCTTTAAGGACCCTCACTGTTGTAGTAAAATAGATGCTCATGCAACCACTGACCCTGCTCTCCCCCACTACCAAAGACAGTATGATTACGCTTTGTGCGGCAGGATAAGTGGACTCTGATTGATCATTATTGATCAGAACTGTATTTGCCAGACAGTAATGGGCCTGCCCCTCAGGACATTATGTCTGCTGCTTCTCTGGCCCCCCTTCTCCCCTATCTTTATGTCCTACTTCAAGGGCCCTCCTTCTCATTGTTTAGCCTCTAATCACAGAGCACTAAGCTCCTTCACTTTGCCTCCACTTATCTTCTGTGTTTCCATCTATGTTTAAGACAGAGGTTGAGGATGGAGGTGGATTGTGAAGTTAATCAAGTCAGGGAGCATGTGTGTTTGTTTCTCTTTACGGCTCTGTGCAGATCAAGAACTTTTTCCAGGAAGAATTTTGCAAAGCCTACTTTAAATGATGTTTTTAAATGTATTTGCATACCTGCTTGCTTGTGTGTATACAAACTTCTTTGAAGACTGCATCATGGTTGCTGGCAGTCACTAGGTGAAATCGGTCGGTGCTGCACCTGAAACCTCATTGTTATGCTTTGGTCTCTAGCAGATTGCTGTAGTGAATGAGACTGACCTGTCTGCAAACACTCAACGATAAAGTAGCTTTAAAACTTTTAAGAGTTCACCTTCAAATTAAAAGTGTGCCTTTTGAACCATGTTGGTTTCACTGGTGAGGCACCACTTTTACTTCAGAATCTTTGCTTCTGGTTTATGTTACACGCTTTCAGTTTCACTACTGCTGAGGGAGCAGATGGTGGTGAGTGTTTGCAGGCAAGTTGGTGCCTTCCACCAGGAGACCGAGGCAGTCTACTATCAACCAAAGCAGACACAAGGAGGGTTTGGGAACAGCACCATATTTCCAGCCAGCAACCTTCAGCAAGCATGTCACTGACCAGTCTCCAGGCCTGTGTGACTAAGACATACATCACAAAATGTTATAGTTCAGTGATAACTGTAAAAATCTGAATTATATACTTTTCAGCTTTAAGCCAAAATTAATCATTAAATCACTAAAAGAAGTGGAGACTTGACCCCTCTTCCTTTTGACAAACCCGAGCAATAAGTGCCTTCAAGATTGAAAGTGCAAACTTAACTAAATAGAAAAAAGAAACTGTTCCATGGGACGCATATGACCAATAAAAGCGAGTATTTCATTAGCATGCAAATATAGCTGATATATTGTCTTAGTTTTCTTTTTTTTCCTCACTCCTCCGTGTTGTATCCCTGATGCAGGGCTCTGTACTTGGGAACATTTTTCCATTTAGCTGTATAAATCTGATTATATGTGGGGGAAAAAATCACAAACTGCGCTGTTCTTTTCTGCAAAACAATCATCCAACATAATTTCCCCTCCTCTATCCAAGAAGTCAATTACAAACATGGGTTCATTAAACAATGGTTTCACTTTAAGTAATATTTTTTTATTGTACCATATGACTGGTTGTGGAGTCTGCCAGCTTGTTTACAATACAGATAGACCGCCCTGAGCCTCTTTGTTCGTACTCCTCACAAACAATAGACGATGTCTGTGTGAATGCTCTGATGAGCGTCGAACTGATTACAGCTACACATACACACATTATCAATACCACACACAGATTATATGACATGCAAAAAGCTGAAAACATTGTGCCACATTTTATTCCACAAGTTAGGCTCACCTGTTTGGCATTATAAAAGAAACTTTACAATTATGTAACACCAAACAGAAGTTGGTATCATTTTTTAATAAGATGTTTGTGCCTTGTCTGTACAGAGTGAAAAACCGGGCCGCCTCTGCCTGCACAGTGACGTCAGACGTCACCACAAGCTTCGCCTGCACAGCTGAGGGCAAAAAAGGTAAAATTAGCATGAATGGTGATGGGTATTTGCATGGGTAATTATTTTTTTATAATGTTGATTCTTGAGCTAAACTTTCATGAGCCATCTGAAACAGTTTACTGTCAATGGATGTTTGTGTCGGTTGTACAGCCATTGTTGAGTTTGAACATAGTTCTTGGGTATAAGCAAAGTGAGATTTAAAGACTCGATCAGAGGTTAATTGTCTTGATAACCTCAATATTTTTCTGCAGTGGAGGTGGGAGCTGTCAGCTCTGCACTGCTCTCTAGGAGATAAAGCACTTCCTCATCTGCATTTTGTACTGATAATGGAAAGCAGGTCACTTGACATGTACTCTGCTTGCATAAAGGGGGGCTACACATGCAGCCACTGTCAGAAAACACTCTGAAGTGTCCCATAGCCGTCTCTCTGGTTTCTGTAACAGCTGCTTTGCTCTGTTTCACTCTGGTTGTTGTCATGAATGTGTGAATCTGATTTATAGCTCTTTTGTTTTGTTAGCTTCAGGAAGCATTTTGATTTGTCTCCGAGCTGTCTGCATTCACCCACAAAGCCTTTTCTAACATAAATTCAATTTTGTTACTGCTCAGGCTAATTTATTCTTAAAATATATAGTTGAGTCTTGACATGTACTTTTCATCGTGCTGCAATTTACACATATATCAGATCTTCTTACACAGCATAAGACAACATTAAATCGTTAGAAAAGTGCAGTAGATTCACCATGGAGAAATATTATTAGTGACATTTTGATGGAAAGAAACGTAAATAAGTTAGGATGTGTGTGTGTGTGTGTGTGCTGAGTGTGCCTGCAACTATTTGCCTGCGCTCGGTTCTGTGTTGCACATGAAACCACCTCATAATTGTTCTTACAGGAGATGGACATTCTCACAATCTCTAATGGACGCTGTAGCTATCCTGTTATTATCTGTGAATGTGTTACTTCACTGTGAATAAATCTGATATAATCTTATCTTCAGTGTGATTAAGAATCTGGATTTTTCACACATTTAGTTAAATAAATTAAATGAATCTAACATTTCCCAGAAAAGTGATAAGTGCCAGGGCTACAGCTAAGTCTTTATTCTTGATTAATCGGTTAATCTTCAAGTGCGCAACCTAAGGCGAACAGAAAATGTTTTAGAGCCCAAACTGACTAAATCAAATGACGTGTTTTTTCAGAAATGTTGATTACGTGGCAGATTTTTTTGCATGAAACTACATGTAGAAGCAGAGACTATGGTGCAGTGTGCTTGTATCTTTCAGTACAGCTGTTAAGTCAGCTGCTTTTGCTTTTGCTAAGAGCATCTGAGGTTCATGACCATTTTCCTGCAGGGACTTTTCCTGAAATGCCCTTTAACAGTTCACTGAATCATCATCATCATCATCATTGTCATCATCAGCTCCTGGCAAGTTGACTACTGAGAGAAAGGGGAACTAACATGTTCTGTGCGGAAATGAGCGGTGCTGTTTTATAGAAATTTTTCTGCGGCAGTGGAAATTGAAACATCAAGTGATGCAATATGTGAATACTTTCATAATCATCTTGACCTCCCTTCTGTGATTTTTGAACAATCCCTTCAGCTTTCTGTTCAGCTGCGTTTTCTCACCACTACCACAGATAAACCAGTGAATGATGAATCGCGGTGTGGACTGCAATTTGTGATCTTCCAACTGGATGCAAATCATTAGACTCATTACGTCAGTGCCTGTGTGTGTGTGTGTGTGTGTGTGTGTGCGTGTGCGCGTGCACGTGTGCGTGTGTGTGCGCACTAAATGAATCTAGCTCTTTTCACCCCAACCCCCGGTCTTTCTGCTTCTCTTCCTCCTCGGCCTCACGAGCTGCTTTAGTGTCCTGGGACAGCAGCCTGACGGACAGACAGGCAGATGGAAGTGACGTTGGCGACATCAGCGGGTTTCAGCAAAAGCAAAGTAGATGGAAATCAATGGCGACAATGACAGTGGGGTCAGGAGAGACTTGAGGAAAAGGCTGGGGAGGAAAGTGAGTGGAGAGCAGCTTAGTAAAGTTCAGTGTTAGATAGAGATGTCTCCTACAGATAACTCAAATGGACCTATGAGCCCAACAGAGACCGGAGTCAGAGGTATTCATTGTGTGCTTCCTTCCAGCCTGGTGTGCTGCAATGCTAGTGTTGTTTAAAGTGTTTCCTTGAAAGTATTGTTGTTGTTTGGTGTTTCCTGGTTCACATTAAGAATGTGATTTCCCTGTAAAGAATAGGTCTAATTTGGAATAGGTCATGGGGTGCAGTCTGTTGGGATAATATCAGAGCAACAAGGCTGGATTTGCAATTATTTCTTAGAGGATGTTTCCTGTTGTAGGAAAATGTGGATCTTTAACAGCTGGTTTTTGACAGTGCTGCCTTGTCAGAAGCAGAGCCTCCATTTGCCACGTATGCCAACATCAAATTTGGTTATCAAATCTGTTGTTGTGGAGGGAAAAAAGGTTGCCTCTTCAGTCTCATCAGGGAGGTGCAGGCAGACACCTGCAGACATCCTGTAGCCTCCTCCTGACTCCTCCACTGCAGAGCGCCGTCCGGTCCACTGAACACACACTGAACACACAGTCACTCCCTTTTAATGGCACTGACCTTTCTGAAATCCACTGAGGATTTCTTTTTATTGAAGAGTTTACTATTGGCTTGTTATTTTTGACCAAAGCCACCTTTAAAGTGGATGTATTATGTCTATATCCAGCTCCATTTTTATTCTTGGACTCTGTAAGAGTTGCTTTGCATGACAAAATTAATGCTTGTTTATCTTATAGTGCAGCCCCTCAATTCATCCTCTGACTGCCCTTTAGGCCATGCTTCTTCTTCGTGTTCACACCAAACACCCTAGAATTTTTTGTCAGTCATTAATTATTAAAGAAAAAAGATCATAGTTGAATTTTTAATGACGTAAAGGTCAGTAAATTCGGGTCAGCATCAACACACTTTTGTTTTCCCTACATCAAAAAATTCATTCAGTTTAGTTTCACTTCATACTTTTTCAAACAAGAAAACCAACATGCTCAACTCTAAATAATCCATTTAATGGGTGCACAGCCATGTAAGTGTCAGCTTATGAATGAGAACTTCAGCTCTCATACTTACACATATAAAGTATTTGCTATTACAAGGCAATAAGAAGAAACTGACAAGGCTTTCCTCTGTGTTTCTAATAGTCATGTAAAACACCACCAGGACCTAACCTCTAACAGGCAAAGGTGGCAACAATCAACAATACATCAATGTGCAACTCCACCCACATGTACAGATCATCGAAACGTGTACAAAACAACACACACCATTAACACACCGTCTGAAACACATTCACAGACAAAAACAAACCCAGACTATGACAGTTCCTCATTTAGTCAGCCAGGGTACAAAGTTTGTAAATGATATATAAATACGTGACAGAGAGCTTACGTTCTCTGAGAAAAATCTTCTACGCAGAAATCTCCTCAATCACTGTCTTAATATGTACGAGTTACTGATGAGTCATTCCTCTTGTCCATATGTGACTGCGCCTTATTTTCTTATCTGAAAGCAGGTTATGTGATAGTGAAGGACCAGTAATTAACAAAGGTGTTTGTATCATGTTTTTGTGCTTGATTTGAGGGCTGTCAAACTGTCTCAGATCAGCTGTAGATGTTTTGTTTAACTTCTATATCATATCAGGTTAATAATGACTAACCTGGGGTCAGTCGAGACCTGGCATCTTCTTGCCTGACCTGTTCTCTTGCAGTCATGGTGGCATGAATGCCAGATGTTGTACTCTGCTCCTGTCCGCCAGTCATACATTTCACCATCTGTGTGTCAAACCAGCCCATGATGTAGCTCACACTCTAGTGTTGTTTGCACTGTTTGTAAGTGTTGCAGATGTTTTATATCCAGAGAGTTTGTTTTTGTGTTTTGGCGAGTTATCTCCTGTTATTATATCATCAGAAGCCCCTTCGTCTTTGTTCTTGTTGCCAGCATACGTCTGGTTCATCCCTCCTTATCGGTCACATTTCACTCTGATCTCAGGTCTGCCTGCATTGCTTTGACATACCAGTGAGCAGCACCTCCTCCTCCAGAGTGATTGCACTCATTCCGCTGGAAGCTGCACTCTTCTGCGCGCTCTGTCATTACTACCATCTAAGCAGTGTAATTACCAGCCTCGATGTGTGTTTGCGGTGCGTGATTCAAGCCTGCATCATGCTGGGCAAGCCGGAGTGGGTGAGCAGAGCGCGCGCGAGAGAGAGCGTGGATGGGAGAGCCAGAACAGGGGAGGTACATCCCTGAGCTAACTAATTACTGTATGTGAGTAATTAAAAAGCATTAAATGTCTGCTATTTATCTTCTGAAGTCGGTGCCAGAGACTGTGCTGGATGTGTCTGCCCTCCTCTCACTGAAGAGGAGGGAGATTAAGTCTTTTTTTCCCCTCCCATGTGTGTCTCCTTTTTTGCCTGTTTGTTTGCAGTCAATGATCAATTTTATATGTTGATTTGCTTTAAAAAATACTTTTTCTTTAAATACAACTGGTTCTCAAGATTCCCACCATCAGGTATACAATATATTTTAGCTCCTTACTGCTAATTACTTATTCATGAGGTGAAAGTGAATCTTTGTGATGGGGAGGTTTCTTCCTCACACAGCAACAGCATTTGTTTTGTCTCAGTACCATTTACTTAAGAAAAACTTGGACTTTGAGTTGAGAATTTGACGTCCTGAGAGTTTGCATTTAAGAAAATTAACAACATTACCATCAGCCTCAGCTCTACTTTTGCTTACAGCTCATCGGCAGCTGTTAGTACTCTCGCAGATTTACAGTATTTAAACATCAAACATGCTAACCAACAGCATGTTAGTAGCACATCTGTGACCAAGTATTGCCACACAGTGCCTGTAGCATGGCTGTAGATCACATATGCACTGCATTACCTCACAGAGGGGCACCTCAAAGGCTGAAGTCCTTACTGCTCCAGACCTTGAACTAACTACATTACAAAGAACGCAGGTTTAAGCCACTATGATGTTGGCTTCACTCACTCTGGGAGCTCCTGTTAATGAGAATACAGCTGATCTGAACCATCTCCTTGTAAATGTGAGAAAGGACAACTTCAGAAAATGTCCCGACCTGATTCACCCGGTGTTTTCCGGAGTTTATGTGTGAGAACAGCTTTAATCAGATGTGTTTCTCACTAAGGAGCTGTGTTCTGGCAAAGGTCACTGATAAAGAAGACCACACTCTCTACATTGCTTCTCTCATCAGGCACCTCAGACATATAATGAAGCCATTCTCCCGCTCCGGCAGCTGGGGCGGATAATCTGCGATTGGGCCTCAGTGGATCACAGGACAGCCCTCTGAAAGAGGAAGGACTCTGTCAGAAAGCATGATCAGAGCAGGCGTCTTTGGGCCGGAAGTGACTGTGGTTCCGTAAAAACAAAGACATGATACATCCGCACGGCTGTATGACGATAGGGAGATTCTGTTTGCCGTGAATGAGTTTTGTTGATGTTGCCCATGTGCGTGTGTTGTGTATGAGTAATGCGGTTTTAATGCCAAAAAGGACTTGAGCTAGCTCTCATAAAAGCCATTGTGTATCATAAAAGACACTGGGACCACTGTGAGCTGCCTTTACACAATGGAAAGCTCAACGTTATGCAAATTGGACTTTGTAAAGCGATAGCCACCCCAGGAGTCGACATTTGTAAAGTTCACAAAGACACGTGTAGCTGGAGAGAGCACATTTTCTGCTCGTTCTCACTGGAAATAGTTAAATGTTTTAACTCCTGTCTTTCTGGAGCTTCCCTTGCAGCTTTGTGCGCAACAGTGTAGTGTGTCACTGCTTAAATTTTAATGCTGGACGTAATTATGCAGTGGTTCGTTGTGTTTGAGTGTGTGTTCCTGCTGTTGTTTGAATCATATTACATTTTTTAAAGCGCTTGTCTTACGAGTAAAATTGTACTGCTCCTCTCTGATTAACCATGACCATGAGTTTGGCAACTGGTGAAAGTGAGGTGAAAGCACCATGTGATGACATGTACGGTTGAATGTGATGCAAGAAACAGGTGACAGATGAGTGGCATATATGATGGAAGTGGGGACATGAAACCCTAGGATTTTATGAAAGTTAAGTATAACAGCAGGGTAATATGGAACTCCAAAGAAGTACAAAAAATTTAATGGTGAGCAGTGGAACTTTATGGGCATATTTTATAAATGTATATATGCAGATGATGAGCTTATTCACTGTGAGGAGCCTTATATAGATAAGAGCTTTAACCTCACAATGGAGACCTAAATGGAGACTGAGATTAGACAGAAACCTGAGAATGATAAAGGAAAGAGAAAAATTCTAGTGGTCTGTCTGCAGCATAGAGAATTAAGCACATTTACATTTCAGACATTAAGCTGAATATCATATTAATAATAAGTAACCCCCCCACTGAGACTGCATTTTATCACATTTTCACACTTGCCAAATTCCCTGTTGGTATCTGCAGCTCTTAAAATTTTTCCGTAACCAGTGGTTTCTGTTTCATCCAAAATAGCTGTTAAATATGTGCATTCTTTGTCCAGGTAAGCAGTAGTTTGGCTACAAAATGCTCTGATAGCTGCAGGTTATCAGAAAAAACACCTAAAAAAAACAAAGAAAGTGGGATTGTCTTGACAGCACAAGGATAATATGTCTGCCAGTGTCAATGCAGGCCGGTTTTCTGGTTTTCATGGCTCTGACAGTACATGCTGCAGAGAAGATAGAAGTCAACGTCTTGTAGTGAGATGAGACTGAAACTGTCCACTGCAGCCACTGTCTTCATGCTGAACTCTGCTGTCACTCCCTTTCTTTGCAACCAATCAGTATTCTGCCCAGGGCAAAGTTTTGTTTGTAGCCTCTGCATTGGTTGAATTCCCACAATCCCTCTCACAGCATAGCGAGAGTTGGTCAAATGAGCACAAACAACACCATAAATCCACATCAGTCTCTTCAATACTTATATGCTATGCTGTAGTTACTTAAATGTAAGTAAATGTTCTTCAAAGCACTAAAGTGAACCTTTTAACTGTTCGTCACCCGCAGTGAAGGTTTATCGGGTCTCTGTTTAGAAAGAAAGATCCAAAGCATGTCATTTGACTATTGCCCTCCTGGTTCCAGGGCAATAGTCAAATGACTATGGGTTTGGTTTAATTCTCAGTAAATTTTCCAAGTCAGTTTTCAGTTAAATGTGAGGTTTTAAATGATTTTGAAGATTATGACATTCTGATTTCATTAACTTTTTACGCAGCGTCCCAACATTTTTCACCGCAGAGCTGTACTGCCAAGATCCCTTACTGGGTCTCTCTTTACATTTGCATATGGACCACCATGCCAGCACATTATCATTTCTTGCTGTCACGCAGTCGAGTCATAACCACATCATGAAAAAAGGAAAAAAATAATAAATTCCTTGCCGGTCACCCTGAAGTACCAACGAAATCAAAACCAAAAACATGCAACCATGACTTCAGTATATTGTCTGCACTCACAATGACGGAAGATCAGAATAGTCCAGTCTTCAGGTTGACAGAGTAAGCTGGACGTGACTGTATTCCTGTACCTGTTCGATGAACATGTAACCATAAAACCTCCGAAGAGAGAAAACAGAAGTCTTTATAAGGCTAGTTCATTTTTAAGACTTGGTGCTGTGTGAGTGTTATGTTAAAACATACTGTTGTGTTTCACCAAGCAGTGTTCCAGTCTCCTCCACCCACTTTCTTGACTTTTGATATCTACTTTACCAAACCTCACCCTTTTGGCTAAAGTGTTCTTTTGCTTTCTCTTTCTCTCTCTCTCTTCTAAAAACTATGAACCACACAAAGTTGTTTGTTTAGTGTCGCGCTGCGGAAAGAGTAGAAACAGAGTAACTTCTTTGTGACCGTCACAGCCGTGAGCCCACATAATAGCGAACACAAATATGGCACGCTTTTGTTTTTTTGGTATATAAAAAAATTGGGGGGTTTCATTTACTCATGCTTAAAATACAAAACAATCATCAAATGGCCCAGAATAAGAAAAGAATGCATAGACTTTTGTGTTTATGTGTGCAGTCACCCCCTCCCTCAAAGATCATTTTTGAGCCCTGCTGTAATCTATGCAGTGGGAAAATGCTTCAGTGTATTTAAACTGTCTGTGCACTCTCCCTGTTTGGATTTGTATTACTTTCTTGTCTGATAAAATTAGCTAGTGTTTCTGAGGTTTTAATCTGCAGCAGAGCGGCTGCAGCCTTCGTGTCCTGTGGGTGTGCGGCTTTCTGTGTGTGCACGCCATATGTGATAATAATATCCCTTGTCAGCCTCCTGAAGATTAGCCTGGATGGGAGAAATCCTCTGTCATATCCCCTCACCTTATTTTCTCTCTCACTCTGGCTTATCAGTCCTACGTTGTTTTACAGTTTAGTGACTCTGAGTTTTGACTCTGTGGAGAAAATATGGGTCACACAGGCTTTATGATTTAAAAATCTCCGTGTCTTTTAAGGCACATTTGTCTTTGTCTTAATATTTTTCCTGATTGTATGCCTGTTGTTGTTTCTCCTCTCAGATCTGCATCAGACATCATCCAAGAAGAAGAAGAAGAGGAGGAGGACGGCCTGGTTCCAGATTGGATGGACCAGTGAAGTCTTTCCCACCCTCCCTGTTAAAAGCAATGTTTTTGGGAGCTGGAGGTCGTAACAGCACCTTCCCCAGCACCCCTCCCAATATGGGATGCCAGCCCCCTGCCCCCCTGCCCTGAGCTCTCTTGGGGTGTCATGAATAGCTACAGAGACAGAGGGGTAACTTGCACCTCCTCAGACCTTCTCGATGGAGGCGGAGGAGGGTTGCCCCAGCACACTCCATTTCGTCACACCCCTAATGGGCACCCGGCGCTAAGTCCCTCTGACCCGGTCGTCCAACCACGCATCTCTGTGCCCAAAATGGGTGTCCGTGCACGGATCGCAGAATGGCCTCCACGCCGTGCTCAGTCCCGGGAGTCGCTGCTTGAGAATGGGCAGATTGGCGGCAATCACTACGGCGATGACGGTTCAGTTTTATCAGTTTTGTCTGACTTCAGGCTGGTGCGGGGAGGAGTCGCCAGGTTGCCCCGGCGGAGGTCCAAGGATGTAGGAGAGTTTGGCGGTGAGAGAAGTTCTCCTTTCAGCCTCAGAGTGTTCCCACCTTTGAGAAAGCGCTCCAACAGTGAAGTGACGCTGAGCGAACAAGATGAAAATGAGGTGAGTGTGAAATCTCCCTCTAGTGTCTCTTTTACACGTGTAGGTCCTAACTGGATTAATTGTTTTCCTTTTAGCAGTAGTCCAGATTGAGTTAAATGACTCTAACAAACCAACTTCACAATGACTGGCATCCACAAACACCAGCGACTGAATGCAGGTGATACAGCTCTGCAATCTGCTCTGTGGACATATTTACACTGTCCAAGAAAACTTTAAAAACTTAATGTTGTTACTGCGTGTTTAGTCTAAACTCCTTTCTGTTATCACAGATGCTGTGGCACATGTCTGCGGTTATAGATGATCTTCCATTAACATTTAAACAAATAGTTTATCAAGCTTTGACAGGCAGATTTAATGGTATTAACTTTTCAAGCTATGCTGAAATCACACATCTGCGGTTTTAAAATCCTGTCCTGCTTTGCTTTAATGTGATTAATGAAGTGAAGTTTTACATTTTCATGTCACTTGCTCTGTGAATTCATGATGTTGTTATTGTGCAGGTTTATTTATTTTCAGCTGTAGTTAGTATGGGTTGACATGCTAACCTAATGAGAATGTTGCAGATGTTTTTGGCTGTTCCCTTACCTTCAGCCCACTTGCAGAAGAAATCCGACATCTGATAAAGACATCTTAAGAATATGTCTGTGTAGGTTCTGGCAGGTTGCCAGGATTTAAGTAAACTGACAGAAACTAAAAAGCAAACCACACGTTAGAGTGAGGTCTTTAAATTACTCTCTGTCAGTCCAAAATGTACTACGGATTCACTTGGCTTTTTAATAATATATACCAAACTGTTAATTGTAACTTAATTATAAAATCCGCAGTATAAGAAATCTAGACATTGTTCAGCCTTTATTCTTGTTTCATTGAAGCACTGATATATATATATATATTTTTTTACATTTTTTATTTTTTTATTTGAGGAGCTCTCTGTGTGACTGGTTTGATTGACAGCTTTCAGATCTGTCTAAAATCTGCTCCTGGCTCGATAAAAGGCTGATGTTCTAACCACTGAGCTGTTATCACACACTGAAATTGTCTCCTCTGCTTGCATAAAGGTGGAGGCTCGAGGAGATGGCGGATTGGGGAACCGGTTCAGGGAATACGGTAGCACCTCCTCCATTGACATCCAAGGCATCCCTGACCAGAGCTTCTTTGATATGATCAGCCAGTTCCGCCAGGAGAGGCCTGACCAGCGCAGCTCTGCACCCATACAACTGGGCGAGCTGCTGCGTGCTCCAGACTCGCCACCTGGACCTCTCCCCTCAGCGCCCTCACCTGGTCCCACAGGTGTGGAAGACAGAGAGACAGGAAGGAAAGACGGCACTGAGAGAGTGAGAAAGAAAAGTGGAGGGACAGAGTCGTCGCTGGGCACCTCCTCTTTGTTTCGGAAACTTCGGAGCTCCAATAGAGGGGAGCTGGATGGAGGGAAAGGAGAGACTGTTGAGGACAGGGGAACACGAGCTGCCATCAATTCCTCCTATAAATCGTGGGTGTGTCCAAAAAGCTTTGTCCACTTTGACGCTCAGAGCATCCTGTTTGACCTCCACGAGGCAGCGGCTCAGCGTGGCTTTGTCACGCAGAGGAGAAACACGGCCACGGGAGCATCAGCAGCCTCAGTATCTCTCTCGGTCTCCAGATCCTCAGCGAGTGTAAACGACCCCATTTACTCCAGCATCGAGGATTTGACTCTGAGCCTCGACCAGGGCTCCACCACACCCTCACTGGGCGTGGACCCTCTAGATTGCGCTGGAGCCCAGAGCTCCAGTCCACTTCTTCTCTCCTGCCCACACTTCCTCAATGAAACCGGAGGCCACGGAGAGCGCAACATCAGCTTCCTCAGCTCGTCATTAGAACGAGGAGGAGATGGAGGAGGAGGGGACGGGGGGAGGGGATGGCTGAGGAAGAGTAACGCCAGCGTGTCAGTGGTGGAGGTGGCCACTGAAGAGCAGGCTACAAGACTGGAAAGACTGAAACTGTACAGCATAGAGCATGTAGACCTGGGAGCTAGGTACTACAGAGACTACTTCCATGGAAAAGGTAGCACTGAGTCATACACAGTTAATACACTCACTCTGCTGCAGAGCCATCACTTCCACTGTCAATACTATAAATACTCTTTGATGTAACTGCCAGCTGTGTTCATGTCATAATCACCAGAAGTTTTCATTTCCAAGAGTCTCTTGAGTTAATAGGAAATGGGTAGGGCTCAGTTTCTGACACATTTAGCATTGTACGCTTACTACAATGCAACCTCCGGCAAACACAGCAATGAAAATTGACTTACAAAGAACATGAAACAAGAACAAGATGCGACATGTTAGGATGTTCTATCTTGGATGGGTTTCTAGTAACCGAGACAACGGAAATCACTTCTCACTCATGAGAGCCATTAATCTGATTGAAAGACACAAACAGTTATACTTCATAAACATTCAGTCTCAGTAATGAAATTGTATAAATTATCTTTACAGTTTCAGAAAAAAAATGCTTTTGTTGTTGTTTTGTGAGTCAGTGAAAACCTTTCACACTGCAGTGTAGTGCAGTTCAAGGTACTTTACGGACGAATGTTGAGGAATAACAGAACAAACATAATGAAATGATAACTAAACATAAATAAAATAATAAAAAACAAACTTAAAATATTTATTTATGTTTTAAAATCTAAGTACCCTGAAAGTGAGCAATATAAAACTAGATGCTAGATGCTGACAGATTTTTTTTAAACAGTGGAACAGATTTACAGACATATGTTTTCCACATTGAAACCCAATGTTTTTCATTCTTGTTTTATAAATCAATGTTCGTTTTTGATTACTGCTTATATGTGTCCAGATGTAGTTTCTGAAACAAGAAACACTTGCTCTGCTTTTTTTTCCCTCTTTTCTAAGTGACTAATAAGTCTTTAAAAGTAGTCAAATTTCTTCATCTTGTCGGATGATGTCCACCCACTGGTGTTAATCACTACTGAGAGCTCAACAATGCTGACGTAATGATCTTCCATTATAATCCAATTTGTGCCTCTTGCTGTCATCCGTTGGAGTTAGATTGTGATGATCTTGTTTGTCCATTCAGAGTTTCTCACATCTCATCCTGCAGCTCTTTATATCCAGCTGGGCCCCAGCGCTGAGCTGGCCAACCTCCCACAGTTTTTCTTACATGTGCACCTGCCTGTTCTGCTTACAAACTTTGACCTGATGATACGCCACCTGCCTTTCTGCAGGTCGGGAGGAACACTTAACAACAGTTGTTTTAGATCTGTTGTTAAAGGTCAGATGTCACACCAATTTTCAGAGGAGGCGGTTTGTGTGAGCTTGTCATTGGGCATTTCTTGTCAGCATCACCTCTTCTGACACTGTTGATGAAACTTCCCTCTGGCGTGCATCATCTGGCTGAAGCCTAATTAGTGACAGATGCTGTTAGCCGCACGTGTGTGTGTGTGAGCGAGAGAGAGACAGCGGCAGGCCTGCAGCCACACAGATAAAGGTTATCATTCCAAAAATATGTTCATCTGCTGACTCGTTTCCAGCTTAGCTGTCCCCCAAAACGCTGCAGAGATTGTGTGCGTGTGCACGTCAGAAAGCCTCATCAAAAAGCTGACATTTGCACCACAGGACGTGGCGTAGAAGCTGATCAGGCCCGAGTCTCCTAACGTGCCCATCATCCCCGTTCACTCCAGCGGTGGGATGGAGGAGGAGTACTTGTCAAACTGGATTCCTCCTTACAGTTCTGGAGAATTTGTGTTTCTTTCCATAATGCCTGCAGCACTGGCATTAGCACGGCTCAGCTTATGAGCTTTAGAGGAATATCGGCAAGATGCTAGTAAAGTGTGGCGATAACTCTGTCTTGGCCCCTTTAATAGATGAACGTGTTGTGCCGACAATGGTAACAAGCCATAAAATGCTAATTGACTGCTGTGGACATTACATTTTATTCACTTCCTCGAGTTGCAAGGCTGAGGACATATTTCTCCTTTTAATGGTCTCATTCTAAAGGTCATGCTGTTCCAACGTGACAAAAAACAAGATTTCCCATTGTTCTCTACAGGTTAGCAATTGATCAATCGATTGATTGATTACCAGATAACATGCTGTTGTCTTAGTCCTGTCCTTGACCTCATATGTCAGGCCTGCTAAGTACACATGAATTACAAACATCCAGACAGTCTCTGTAAGTCAAGTTCTTTCCCATTCATCTCATTTCCTATGTATCAGTTCAGTGCTTGTGAACTTTTTCATCCTGTGAAGTGGGACATGACAGAATAATTTGAGAACCAGTGTGTTATATGTGCTGCTTACTCTCCTTCTCAGTCATGATGTGAACTTCAACACATTTCTGTAGCCACTTCTGCTGCTTTGTGCTTCGAACAGCTCATTATACATGTAGTCGTGTTGATATTACTGATTTAAATCATTGTGAGGTATGTTGCCTAGATAATTTTTCTCTGTGCAGCTGCTGTAATTAAAACGTGTTATTTATTTTTAAATAGGGAAGCAGCATGGTGGGTCTGTAGACTGTGCTGTGCCTCATATTAGCGTTTGGAGTTTGTTCTCACTGTGTGTGCGTGGGTTTTCTCTCAGAGTTTCGGTTTCTTCTGCCATCATGCAGGTTAAAGATCACTATCTGCACCCAGGAGTCTCTCATAAAACAGATTGTTGATCTTTAGAGTTTGCCTTCGAGGTAAAATAATTAAAAATAAATGAATGCGTACAGTTCATAGAGTCCTTTCTTAAGCAAGATTACCTTTGTGATTTTAATAAATTCATCAGTTTTCCAGAGCAAACAAAAAGGTGGTTGTTATCTGATTGTTTTGGCTCCAAAAACACTCCAAAACATAAAGCTGGTCAGTTTACTCTCATTCAAGCATTAAGCAGTTAGAGAGAATCTGGAAACGATTTGGAAGTAGATGAAGATTACATTTCTGATGCTCGACTCATCACTGATAGCATTTTTTTGGCTGCTGCTTCGTCTTTTATTATTGGAAAACTCATCTGATCGCCTGTCTGCTGGCACACTGAGGTGTAGACACAACACAGGCACATGTTCAGACACAGAACTTTCTCTGCTTCTCAGACTTTAACCTTGGTTGTCTCTGACCTCCTCCAGAGCACTCAAACTACTTTGGGACAGACGATAAGCTGGGCCCTGTGGCCTTGAGCATCCGCAGAGAGAAACTGGAAGACACCAAAGACCTGAAAGACCAGTACCAGTACCGACTCATCGTCAGGACGAGCGAGGTATGCGCGTGTGTGTTTATGTGTTTATATGCTGATCACGGGGTTTCCAGTCACAGTCTGTTAATTACTCAACTGCTTTCAGTTTCTCCAGGCCTACCTGTGACACGTGCCCTCATTATAACCTTCCCTCTGTCCCCTCGCCCCTCTGCTCATCCCTCTTCTGCTCTCTGTCAGTGGAAAATTCCACCTGCTCAGTCCAAGCACATTAAAGCCAAACCAAACACGGGCTGCTCCCACAGCCAGCTACTTCTCCTCTTTGATGGATCAAACACTCATGATGTGGTAAATGATGGGCTGATGATTGTAGAGAATTAGTTTTCAGATTCTCTGCATCCATTCTTGGTTGTTTTCAGAGGTTTTACTTCCACAGTTTCCAAGACACAATTTTGGAAAGACATCTTTGTTCAGAGACACAACTGATGATTATTTTCCTACTAATTAATGTAAATTTTCCATCTCAGTTTACCGAAGTCAAGTAGAATGACTCTTGTAGTTTGACTAACAGTCCAAAACTGAAAGACATTAAGTTTACTGTCACTGAAATAGCTGGAGACTATCTCGATGAGGGGCTACCAATTCTAAATTATCTGAAGGTGTGAATGGTTCTTTCTCTGTGTTAGCCCTGCAGCGTGTCCAGGGTGTATCCTGCCTCTCATCCTATGACAGGTGGGATAAGCTGTTGGAAAATGGATGAAAATTCTGGAAATTAATAGTTAGTGCTAGTGTTCACACCACTTAGACCTCACTTTCTGCTCAGCTCAGTCTTGTGGGGTTTTTTTTAAATTTTTATTTTGTTTGTGCACGGTTGGCATTTAAAATGATAACACAGCACAGTTTGTGTCAGAGGTCTCGTGAAGTAATTGGCTTAATCTCAATCAATATATTTTACCGGTTTAGCATCATAAAGGCCGCTCGAACAACAAGCTCGCCTCTCCTCACTGTGTTAATGCAGTCTTAGCCCGAGTGTGTCCTTCTTTGTGGCTGTGCTGTGTTGTTTTTAGCAGGATTACATGGCTGCCTGGCCTCATCACTGTAGCTCTGGTATAACAATGGAGCCTCTCCACCATCTAAGTACACAGAGCTAAGCTAACAGACACAGTCCAGGCCCACTGTTCCCACACAGAGAAAAAAGGAGATTGATTGCGGACTTTATTCTCTCCCACTCAAGCCACAGCCGCTCTCAAATATCCATCCCCCTAAGCCTGTCATTTAATTCTGTGCAGCACTGCTGACACAGCAAGGTGGGGAGACTTCCTCTTTCTCCTCTCCCTCTGTCACACATTCAAACAGCCCCCCCTCTGATGTTTCTGCTTAGCACGTCGCAGTCACTTGCTCGGCCTTGCTCACAGGCTGACGAGTTGAAACGATATCTGTGTAACTTCAGCCGCTGGTCGGTCGAGCTTCATTTCCTTGCGGCAGACCCGAGTCGCTGAGGTTGAGCTGTCTCTCCGGCCTCTGCCAGCTCCAGAGACCGCCATACATTTTTAATCAGTCTGCAAGTGAGAAGCAGCAGCCCACTCCTCCCAGAGGTTATTATAGTCTAACTGTTTTGAAGCAGGTCAGTTCCCCCTGATCAGGAAGCAGCACAATACTGAGCAGAATCTTGATTCACAACACCGCTGAACTTAAAGCCTCCACGCAGACGCCTGTCACTGCATGTGTGTTTGACAAACAGGAAGATGCTTCAGGGCAGCAGGGCGCCATTAATGTGATCTGATGGACCGTCCTGCTTCAGACTCCCATACTGTGAATCATCCAAACCCCTTTTTCCCAAAGGTGTAGTACAGCGACCTCTGACCTCTCTCAGTAGAGTTCAACATCAACATTATTGTTACTTTTTTACGGCAATGCTGCTTTATTATTTCATAAATACCCAACCCACAAAAGCCAATATGTCTGATACACTAAAGTTCAATTCACTTCAGAAGTTTTATGTCAACAAAGAAAAAAAGGAACAAGAAATAAATCCAAAAAATAAGAATTTATAAAATAATACTGTTCTTATTATTACTTAATCTAAATATTTTTTTATATAATATTTTTCATAAATGTCCAACCAAAAATCTAAAACTTGAGCCCTTAAAGGAAAAACACTAAACAGCAGAAAGCATTAAACTTTAAGACCATGCAAAAAGAAATTTACTGCTTAACTATTTAAATTTATGGATGGGTTAAAAAAACCATAAAACAAAACAACAGCAATAAATCCAGTGGTTTTATCACAAACAAGAACGATGCACATCATCACATCATTACCAAGGCTGGTTACTATAATCACACTGATCTGTTGTTTCCCACATCATGAGGTTATATTCACTGTAACACCTTTGGGGGGCGGGATATTAATTTTCTTGACATTTCAACCATGACACTTGAATAATATTTGTTATGTAGGAAGCTCAAATTGCTTCCAGTTTGGTTTTTTTTTATCTAATGTTGTTCTGAACCCACAGCTGGTGACGCTGCGCGGCTCCATTTTAGAAGATGCAGTGGCGTCTACGGGGAAGCATGGCACCGTTCGGGGTCTGCCACTCAAAGAGGTCCTGGAACAGGTCGTCCCCGAACTCAACGTGTCCTGTTTGAGACTGTCGCTCAGCACCGCCAAAGTCACAGAGCAGCTCCTTAAACTGGATGAACAGGGGGTGAGTTTACAGTGCACTGAGTGCACCGAGCAGCTGTTCCAGCAGGCTGGAAGACTGCAGAGTAAAATTGTACACTAATAAGGTGAAGCTGTGGCACGTGGTGTTCTCAGGTAGTGTGTGAGACTTGGGTAACTGATTTAGTGCTGGTGCAAAGTGCAGCGTTGTACAGGGAAAGCTGTAAGAAACAGGGTGTGGTACGTTTGAGCATGAGTGAGTAACCATACAAGCTGTAATGTTTGGCCATGTTATCTCACCTTTCATTTAATGGAGGGAGAAGTGTAGGGTGGAGGTATTTTGCCAACAACCGACCTGTTGGGTTGTTTGTGCAGGTGGTTTATAGATCAACAAAGCTGTGTGTAAACAAGTCCAGATATACGTTACTTTTGGGTTAAAAGCTTGTTTGTTGGCATTAACCTTCAGAGTGCTGTGTTTCAGCTGTGTTTGTGTGTGTGGTCTCTCAGCTGCTCGTGCTTATTCTGCTTGAGTAATATTAACATCGTGTCTCTTCTGCCTTGTAGTTAAGTCAGAAGCACAAGGTGGGTGTTCTGCTGTGCCGTGCAGGGCAGAGCACAGAGGAGGAGATGTACAACAACGAGGAGGCATCGCCCGCCTTCTCTGCCTTCCTGGAGCTGCTCGGGGAGCAGGTGCTTCTCAAAGGATTCACCAAATACGCTGCACAACTCGACACCAAGAGTAAGAACGCTCTGCAGCATAGCATCCGCTTTTAGAAATCATATTTTTACATGTTGGTCTCATTGCTGAAGAAGTGGTTTTAATGTATCATTTCATTACTGTTTCCTATTCTCAAAAGAAAAATGCAAATAAACTGTGAAATGAGTATTTTAGGTTTTAAAGGATGTTCTTCATAAAGACACTCACTTGTCCCGATAAAGCCATAAAGAATATTTACACACTAACTCCTGCAGCATCTTTAGTTTTCATGAATTCACTACATTTAACAGACTCATAAAGTCAGTAATGTTGCATATGTGTCATAAAACCGGGGGTTACACAGTGAATGCATCATCAGAAACTTTGACTAATGTGTGGTCAACAGCTGCTGACTTTCAACAAATATCTTTCCTCCAGCGGACTCTACGGGCACCCACTCCCTGTACACCACCTACCAGGGCTATGAGATAATGTTCCACGTGTCCACCATGCTGCCATACATGCCCAGCAACCCACAGCAGGTAACAGCCCCACCTAAGTAAAGCACCAACACTGGTGTGTGTCTCTAAAGAAAAAAGAAACAAAAAAACGATGATTTTGATGCTTTGTTGTCACACAATCTTTGAAAGCACGTCTGTGTTTGTTAGCTGAGGCTTCTTCTGCTTTTTTTTCTCTGGCTCGTAAACAACGGCAGGAATTCATGAAGTGGAAACTTGTGACTTTTGTCGACCTCTTCATTTGGAATTTTTTGTTTTTATTCAGCCTCTTGTGTTTTTATAGTCTTTGTTTTCTGTGTCTTGTTATTTCTTTCCTTTCTGGCTGTCTCTTCTGCCCTCATTGTTTGTCTGGATCAGAGTTGGGTGGGGTTCAGCAGTGTAGTTATTAGTATATTTTCTTCCTCTTACTTTCCCTCGCTCTCTCTCTTTTTTTTTTTTTTTTTTTAAAATTGACTAAATTTTTCTTCTTGCATGATCTTCTGGATGTTGTGCGTTTCCAGCATGTGCTGGTGTCGCTCAAGAGTGTGTAAAATTCAGCATGTTGGTATTTTTTACAGTTTGCCTGAGTATTTGCGTAAGAGCCTGTCTCGAGTGTGCACATGTGCTCAGACAAGCCTGCAGGTGCTCGGGATTAGTGCACACTTTTGAATGTGTCAGTATGTCAGAGCAGTTTAGGCCAAAGAGGTGTCATACATTAATCTTGCTAATTAAACGTCACTGTTGCCATATCCATACCAGCAATCAGTTATTTATTATAGAAAAAGCTTTTTGATAATCTCCTCATCTTTTAGTAACATGAGAAAATGTGAAATCGTTAAAATGTTTGAACAGCTGAGTGTTGGTGTCAGGTGTTTAATCAGAATATAACAGCACAATAACTCCATCCAGAGGCTTTAGGGGCTGCAACAGCAAGGAGGTTTACTTACTCAGTTGAACCTCTAGATGGCATCATCTCACTGCAAAAATAACCCTCAGTGACTGGAGAAGCAAAAGAAGATTGAAACATAAGCTGCTGTGATGACTCCTGAATTCAGGATAAAGGAGAACACTAACTTCACCTGCACAACTGTTCTTGGGTTAAATGAACAATGAAGAAATTTGCTGTAATTAACATGTGAATCATGCATATGAAGGGTCACATTCAAAACGCTGAAATAGAAAATGATGATATGCTAATACATAAGAGGCCCCAAATATCCCAGATTTTCATGCTGTACAAGTACAATTCAAATGTTCACACAGCAGCCTGGGTACGAGTGAAGGATGCTCCTGTGGTACTGCACAGGAGCCAAACAGTGGGCTGCATTACATAATTGGTATTTTCACACTTCTCTTTGCAGATGAAGAGCAGATTGGCAAGCACCGCACCACAGACACAGCCTGCACTGTGTGCTGCGTCTCCTACATAAACGCAGATAGACAGACAAGCTAACGCACACACACACAGACACAAATAGCCCACACAGAACCCGCAAAACAAATTACGTAAAGAGCTGTTGCTTGGTGTCTAACAGCGAGCGTCTTAATCTCTCTTTTCCCCTGTCGGACTTTCTGTCGTTCACTGAGTCAGTCGTGTGAACGCCAATTACGCTCGCTCGTTTTATTAATTTATCATTTTTATCTCTTCTCTCCTGCTCAGCTCCTGAGAAAGAGGCACATAGGGAACGATATTGTCACCATCATCTTTCAAGAGCCTGGAGCGCTGCCCTTCACCCCGCAAAATATTCGTTCACACTTCCAGCACGTTTTTGTTATTGTTCGTGTTCACAACCCCTGCTCTGAAAACACCTATTACAGGTAAATGTTTACATCAGCACAAACTCATGTTTCTATACACGTGGTGCACATTATTAATTAGGATCTCACTTCCAATACTCTGTTCCCGCCTCCCAGTGTTGCCGTGACGCGAATGAAGGATGTGCCCCCCTTTGGACCACCCATCCCCAGCGGCGTCACCTTCCGGGACCCAGAGACGTTTCGTAACTTCCTTCTCGCCAAAGTCATCAATGCAGAAAACGCAGCACATAAGTCTGAGAAGTTCCACACCATGGCGACTCGAACACGGCAGGAGTACCTGCGCGACCTGGCCGAGAACTATGTCAGCAGCACGCCGCTGGATTCGGCCGGCAAATTAAACAACCTCATCTCCCTCGCATCTAAGAAACGGGAGCGCACGAAGGCGAGAGAGGGAGCGGAGCTGGGTGCTGCCGGGGCGGTCGCCTGGAGAGTCCAGGCCCAGGACTTTAGCGGAGGCGGGGGAGCAGAACTCCCCTGTGCCTTGGGTGTGTCGGCTGAATACATCGTCCTCATAGACTGCTCCACCAAAGAGGTGGTGTTCAACTGTTTCTGTGCAGACGTGATCGGCTGGACGCCGGAGCGGCTGGCACTGAAGATCTTCTACGGCAGAGGAGATCACATTGCAGTTCGAGTGCCAGAGGGAGGTGCACAGGACATCAGGGAGATGGTGCAGAGGTTAAAGGTGAGACCTTGGAGCAAAGACTTGATCTTTGGGATTTGGGGTCATGCAGGCTGTGCTGTAAGCAGATCTTGTAGAAAGACTACAGTGAAAACACAGTTGTGTCATGTCTTGTTTACTTCCTTGTTCTCCAGCCTGTAGTTTTCTTTACATCCTTTGGTGTGTGTGGGTTTTTTTTATTGCTTTGTTGCTTTCTCACCAACTCTTAGAGCAAAATAACATGAAACTTTCCTCATCTGTTTGCATTTGTGCCCCTGTATGTCTAGTGCAAACAAGACATACTGCTTGCACAAAATTATTCTTTAGAGCTTCCTGTAGTCAGAAATGTTTCATGTGGTTATTGAAGTTTATCAGACCAAATCAGTGCAACACCTTCATTCTACACTCCTTTAAGCTCAGGGGATTTCCACAGTGGGTGTTGGTTTTCATTCCACTGAAAAACTAAATTCAAAGGCAAGTCATTGTGTCAACATTCACAATGTATTCTGTGTTTTGTTTTGTTTTTTAGCTTTATGTTTTTGTGGTTGTCTTCTTTTTTCAATGAGGCTGTGCCACTGTCTGCACTGGCTCATCTGAGGCCTTTCAAATTGTGGTAATCTCTGAAAAAAGTGATGAATTAAACGCTGGGAAGAGGAGATTTCCTGGACTCGATCAAGCTTTGAGTTAATCCAGCAGAAAATTAAATATTTAAAAATGAGTTAATCTTACTAAAAGCACCAAATACATGCAGATTTGAGACTGAAACGTTGACCCAGTGCTGGGTAAGAAGTCATCATCACCTGGTTGTTACTTTGCTATGATGATCTTTAGTTTGTTAGTCCATATATAACAAGCTAATACTATAAATCTGATATGATTTTTTTTTCCTTCTGTTTGTGTAGTTGTTGACGGTGGGATGTGAAACTGTGGATATGACACTAAGAAGAAATGGACTGGGACAGCTGGGCTTCCACGTTCGCTTGGATGGCACCGTAGCTGAGGTACCGTCAGATGACCAGATCTAATTTTGAGGCACTCTGAAGATTCTTGGCCGCGCATAAATGCTCTGCTTTTGTTTTGTTTTTCATCCAGGTGGAGGAGTACGGCTTCGCCTGGCAGGCAGGCCTGAGGCAGGGTAGCCGGTTAGTGGAGATCTGCAAGGTGGCCGCAGTGACGCTGACGCACGAGCAGATGATTGACCTGCTGAGGACATCGGTCACAGTCAAAGTTGTCATCATTCCTCCATACGAAGAAGGCGGGCCTCGCAGGTGCGTGGCAGTCTGCGTGTGGTTTCCTTTGAAGCCGAGCTTCATTTGTAAACAGCTGTCATGAATGCAGATGTTTGGACAGTGGGTTACAGCACAGGAGCGTGCTCAGTGTAAGTGGGCAGAAGTGGAAGGACAAGAGCGAGCTAGAAGAGAGCGCAGGACACTCATTACTCCAACACACAAAAGCCTGGCAGAGATAGTGGCCAGACTCCAATGTTCTGATGATTCTGTGTGGGAGTGTGTGAAAAGAGGAAGCGAGCAAACAGAGAAAGAAAGATGCGTGGCTGAAAAGGAAGCGGGCGAAATGAGGCACACAGACAAAAAGAAAGAAGCATTTGTTTAATGTGAATTAGCTACAATCTGCCTTCCTTTCTTCTTCATATCTGCTCATCTCTGCTATTGTGTCACTTCCTCTCCTCCACATCATTTATATCTTTTCCCTGCCGTCACCCTTTTCCATCCTTTCATCCACACACGAGGCCTTGATTGAGACAGAATAACGAGACCTTATGAGACGCTGATGTGGTGTTACTGAGGTGAAAAAATAACCGTGTGTGTGTGTGCGCACACACTTGTGACCGAGAACAAGAGCTCCTAAATACAGTAATTGTGTCAGGCTGTGTGATCGCACAGTGGTTAGATTTCTTTAATGCTGGAGGCAGTTTAATTACACCAACTTAAATCCCTTTGACACACACACATGCACAAACACACACATGGTACTGTGGCATTGGAGCAACTGATAATTAGAGTCTTGTATTTCATTCTTCCTCTCTCTCCCCATCCGACTCATTTGCTGTTGTGTGCCAGGCAAGCAGATTGCATGAGATTAAAGCCTGGAATCTGCAGGAGAAAAAAGGTCCACAGAAAATATAAATAAATAAATAAAGGAGTGGAAGTGATTAATTAAAAATGCACGCCCTGTGCGAATGAAAAGGACAGGAAAAGAGGGAGGGAGAGAGTGAAAGAGAGAGAGAGGGAGGCAGGGTTGAGTGTTATGAGCAGGAGAGGCTGAGAAGCGCTGGGTGAGGAGGACGTGTCTCAACACCGCCGAGAGTTAGAGCAGTGGGTGGAAGAGAAAAAGAAAGAAAAGAGAGAGAGAGACCAAAGTTGGAAGGGCTTTTTCTTTGCCGTCCTTTCTCGGCTCCGAACGTGCAAGATGGACAGATACGACGGGGAGAAGGTGTGACTTCTGGCACTGTGTATTTGACTGTGTGCGTGCACGAGTGCGTGCGTGCGTGCGTGCACGAGCTCCAGCTGTGTCACATCAGCCAGCGTGATGGGAGGAACACTGAATGCCGACAGATTTAGGCTCTGCTCTCTCTAAGGTTTGTGCTCTCTTCCTGCGTTTGTGTTAGCCCGCGCTGCTGTTATGTAACCGTATTGATACTGATTGGATTTGACTCATTCCGTTGTTGATGAAAATATCCCGACCACATGTGCATCGACTTGTGTGTCTTTTGGTTTAATGCACATGTCATTTGAAATCAGCTGGTGGTGTTTTTGAGGACGTCTGTGTTGTGTTTGTGTTTTACCATGGACATGGCTGCAGCGTGTTTTCACTGTGGATTAGTCAGCTGGTTATTTTCAAGGTTAAATGAATAATCACGCTGTATAAAAGAAACATGTATCCCCTGCACAGTTTCCCAAAGCACATGATGACATCTTGAAATGTTTTGTCCAAGCAGCACTTTGAGGAGCCTCACAGATATTCTGCTAACATGTGTGCTAAAAACAAACATTTGATTCATCGTTGAAGCCAATTTTAAGCAAAAACATATTTAAAGACTCTGCTCTGCAGTTTGGGGAAACTATAATGGACTTCTTTGTTCTGACTTTATTTTTGTTCTGCTGCTTACAGGAACTTTTGGTGCCCCCAAAGACTTTATAACCACCCCCAAAACAAAAATGCACTCCCCCCTCTGATGCTGTGGTGAATTTATCATTGGGGTCTAATTTATCCAACATAACAGACACTTTTATTCATCCATTAAACGTAAATAACTGAAAATTAATAGACTTGCGTCAGACAAGGTAACAGCATTATTGCCTTAATACACCACATGCGCATTGTTTAATAATGAAAGTTTATGCTACACACACTCTGTCCTCATGGTCTTTATCCCACTGCCTCACTTTAAATCTTCACCCTCACAGCATTTCCCTGCTCATTTCCTCCTCTCTTCATTAGTCTCATGTTAAATGCCATCCAGTATGCATATTTGATGCCTCCTTCCCTCCCTCAGTGAGGCTTTGTGAATGGAGTGATGATGATGATGTGTAAAAGACATGTGCTGGGCTACTTACATGCCGTTTTTATTTATTTAGTCAGAGGGAGCTGAGAGAGTGGATGTCTGTGTGATCTTTGGTTTAAAAACAGATTCATAATTATTTGATGCGTGATTGTACAACCAAGAGTTACTGCAACCTTGCGTGCCTTTACTAAACATATCTGCTGTGTCTACCAAGACTCTGATTCAGGAGCTGTTTGATGAGATTGGATATTTCTCTCTCATACACAGACACACACACACTTGACCTCAGTCTCGCAGTAGGAGAGATGGAGTCCTGATGTGCCAATAATCGGTTTACTTTACTCTCTTTCTCCCTCCATTGGCGTCAGGGGAGCTCATTAGTGAGCTCTGTTACATGTCTGCAGTGTGTTTGAGCATCCACAAAGTAAGTTATGAGAGGACAATAATGTGGAGCATTTGGGGGAGATTTATTGAGCAGTTTCCACGCACTGAACTCGGTACAGAAACCGCTGTTCTGGTTCAGCTACAGTTCAGGGCTGCTGCATTTACTGACCTGTGCTGAGGATCAAAAACTACACATGAAGGCTGTGTAAAGGAGATAACCTTGGAGATTTGGAGGGAAACAGCAGTATTTTAAGTGTCATGCTTTTAATTCTCTTGTAGTGGATGTGCTGTCTCTGTACCGTTATAAACCGTCCTCCTCTGTCTCTGTAGGGGCTGCACCGAGGAGTACGAGATGAAGACCATGGAGCAGAAACCAGAACCTGAGCCTCTAGCAGCAGGATACCGACCCTCTCCCCGCCAGACCTGGCGATGGGAGAACTCACCTGTTCCTCAAGTGCTCCACCCCACTAGCATGCAGCGCTGGGCCCCCATCGGCCCCCCACCTCCTCCACTAGTACGCTCACACAAGCCCCTGATGCCAGTTCCCTACAGAGAGCCTCAGCACCTCAGCTCCAAGAGGTGAGCCTCACAGTTATTCTCCACAAGTAGTCATTCCTGACTGAGACACTGTAGCTTACTGCAATGTGTTTACTGGTGACAAGACAAATGTGATGGACACTAAAATATAATACAACCCAAGGTTTTACATGTATGACATGGAGGAAAGCATCATGTTCATTGTAAGTAGCTGTAGTAGGCCAAACACACGCGTGAGCTCATGATCATCACTGTGCTGTTCTACCAGTATCAACCCAGCATTTCCAAGCAGAAAAAATATCAAAAACAAACAAACTTTCTCATTCTAAAGTAAAACATGAATAAAAGTCCAATCAGCAGAAAAATGCAGTCCCCAGCTCTTAACTCCAGGTGAAGTCAACGCTGTCATTGCAGTGTGCACATACAAACCAAACACGTGAATATGCAAAAGACTCGTGAAGGACTTCTACACATGTGCTGCTGCCCCACCTGCACCAAGTCTTTATTCATCATTCCATTAAAATTCAGATTTTAATGAAAAAAAGCAAGTATAAAAAGTGTTTAAAGCCTGCAGTGTGTAGAAATGTAGAAAAGGGACAACAGCAGCTGCTTTGACTTTTTTGTCCTCATTTTACTCTTCACCTGAAAAGCTCAGTGAGTGGCCAAAGTCTTTGTTCTAGGCTAGATGTTCTAAAGCATAGGTGTCAAACTCTGGCCCGCAGGCCAAATTTGGCCCGCAGCCTAATTACATTTGGCCCGCGAAGCCATACCAAATTACTATTAGAGCTGGCCTACTGGTATTATACAGCTAATATATATATTGTTTAGTATTAAGCTTTGCTTGTTCCATATTCAGTTTTTCAACAAAACTTATTTGAGTCCATAAGAAAAGATTCATTCTTATATCTGGAGGAAGATTTTTTTTTTTCAATAAATATTAATGTTAGCCCGAGACTTTGTTCCAGTTTTGAATTTTGGCCCACTGTGTATTTGAGTTTGACACCCCTGTTCTAAAGCCTCATACAGACCTTGGAGGAGGTGCAGGAGTCAAATTTCCTTCAAGTAAAAAATGCGAAAAGGTTGTTATGGATGTCTTTGTCCAGTGATGACAAAATCTTGTCACCTACTTCAGCTTTAACTGCGTATTGTATGAAGTTAGTGAATCCAGTCACCATTCTTCAGCATACTATGTGGATATTTGTTCATTAAGACTTAATGATGGGTGTAAAAGTGTAATATGCATTGCAGTGAGCCATCTTCACAAAGC